CCCTGCCCGTCGCGGCGGGGCCGGGCTGCCCTGGCGAGCCCCGGGGGTTACAGCCCTGCCGGGTCTGCGGGACCCGAGGGGGTCAGTTCTCCCTCTCTGCTTTTTTCCCTTCCTACCCGGTGCGGTTCCTGTTGCTGCCGTTTCCCTTCCCCGCGCTCCGTGGCTCGGTGTAACCTAAGGGCACTGGGACTGTCCTCAGGGCTGTGTTGTGCCGTTTACGTGTGTGATGCAATGATCTCCTGCCCTGGTGGCCCCTCCAGTGTCCCCCGGCGTGGCTCTGTCTGCCCAACCAGTGATTGTAATCAGTCTTTCATGTTCTTTTGATTTTTGGCATCTGACCTCATAGGGATTCTACCCAGGCAGGTGGGTTGTGGTTCCCCTCCAGCTGCTGGTGCTGAGCTCCTGTCTCACATCACTAGCACTGGTCCTCAGCAGCTGGTTTTAGGGACATGCACCCTCCCAATGCCAGTGGCTGACCCGCCTGCTCCAGCAGCTGAGGACACAGCCCTGGGTGCCCACATCCCCCCTCTGACTGCAGCAGCTGCCACCAGATCCACTGGTGCCACTGCACTGGTGTAACTGGCACGTTGTCCTTGCAGCACTGGCACCCACAGGATACAGAGAGCTCGTGTGAAAGGATAATTACGGAAGGATTTAATGAGAAGGTAGGACAGACTGGGGTGACCAGGCACAGCACTGACCAGCTCCATTTTACCTGTGACCAGTCCCTCTTACACCCCCTTGTATACCCCCTCTGCTTGTTCCTCCCCAGTCCCCTTTCCCTGCATGTTCCCTCATCACTTTTCACAGTCACAACAACCCCGTGAGCATCCTGGGTCCACAGGCCTAGAGACTGACCCTGAGCCAGAGGCTGCTCATTGTCCAGCCCAGGGAACAGACTCTTTCATGGACACGAGGCATGGGGGTGGGTGGTGGGCAGCTCCTGAAGGATGTCTCTTTTTCCAGAAGCAAATAGAGTCCCAGCTGGAGAGCCTCAGGAGAGAGAAAGGAGAACTGGAAGAACAGAAAAAGAAGGAGCAGTGGGTCTGCCAGGACTGTCTGGTAGGTGCTACTGGAAGAAGTTTGTTTGGAGTGGGTGAGGAAAGGTTGATTCTTGACCTTTGGAGTTGGGAGATTGAATCATGTCCAGCTCTTGGTGCCTGAAAAGCAACCCAGGAATCCCAGCCATGCTCCACACCAGAAGTAAAAGCCATGGATGCTTTTAGTTGCTGCCTGTCCCTTTCCATGGTCCCACCCCATCTTGAGCAGATTGTTTCTGCTCCTGAAGGAAAAAGTGAAGCTGCAGAAGCAGAAGGTTGTGCCTGAATTTAAGCAGCTGCGACAGTACCTGGCAGAACAAGAGGGCCTGCTGCTGGCTCAGCTGGGACAGCTGGAGAAGCAGATTGAAACAAGATTGAAAGAAAATGCTGCTAAATTCTCCAAGAAGATTTTTCATCTGGATGGCTTGATCAAGGAAAAGGAGCATCAGCTGTTGGGACAGGAGTCCCTGCAGGTGAGTTCTTCTGAAACACCAGCTCTGTCTTGGCAAACAGCACATGAGGCACCAGCAAATCAGAAACATGCCTTGAGCTAATCTTACCTTGATTGACATAAATTTGGCCTTGCTGCTGTGTCTGTTTGCTGTGTAAGGGGAATGTGAGGAGTGTGTATGCCAGGTAAGTAGCACTGAACTGCCTCTCTCTTTCTCCCATCTAGGACACTGGGGATGTTGTGAGCAGGTATGTGTTGCTTTCTCCTTTACATCACTCTGCTGGTTAGGGCTTGCAGAAGCAAGAAGCTTGCAGAAGCTGTGTCCTGCCTCCAGGACACAGCTAGATATCTCAGATACTAGGGATGCCCCACTGATGTTCATATTCCAGTTTTCCAGAGGCTGATGATCTGCTCTGACTCTACCTAGAAAGTCTATCCCTGGGGAAGTATCAGAGGAGGACATTTCATTTAGAGGGTCTCTAGTTGCAAGCCTGGCTGGCTTCTCCATGATCGATGCAAGGAGACTCTAAGGCACAGAGACCAGGGTGCAGTGCCCTTGGCTCAGGGCTTCAGCACTTGGATCTGACACCAAGTTTGCTCTGAAGGCACAGGGTGACTGGGGGCACCAGGACCATCGTTCATAATAGAAGTTGAATTGGCAGTTAGAGCATCCGGACAGAGTAGTGAGCTAGCCAGTGAGACCTGGTGCTCTTATGTAAATTATAAACAAACAAACCAACCATAAAACCAAAATGAAAATAGGAATGAACTCTCTGGAAGGTATTGGTTCAGCTGGAAAGTGGTCTTCAGCAACTGGCACTAACAGGAGAGTGAGTTAAAGGAGGAATTTAAATGCTGTGGCTTGTATGACTCCAGGTGTGAGAGCTCAAAACTCCAGCAAAAGGAGCAGCTGAGCCATGAATGGGTGAAGGAGCCCGGCACCAGCTCAGGAAAAGCTTCCATGGCAAGAAAACCCCAAGGTACAAAGGGAGAAAAAGCAGAAGATCCTTGTGTAGCATGTCCCCTGGGGGTCATGGCAGAGGGGTCACAGCTGAAGTGACTCCACTCTCTCCTGATCACCCCTTTCCTCCCCACTCTCTCTTGATCTCCTTCTGTTTTCATTTTTCCCTGAAAAGAATAATCAACTTTAGTGTCAATTCACATCATCAGCTATGGAGCCTGCATGAATGTGAACCTGTTTCAACCCCCTTTGTGCTGCTACCCCACCTTTCTGCTCCAGATCTGCTCCTGCTCCATGGTTGGAAGTGGGTCAGGGACATGAACAAGTCCCACGTGTCCAAATACGTCCAAAAGATTCTCAGCTTGTGCTCTCTTAATGAGGAATCTTATCCCCAGAGAAGTGCTTGAGATGACTGGCCGAGCCCAGCATCATGCAGAGTAATTTAGGCTCTGTAATTTTAGGGACCTCTGGAGGTCATCTGGTCCAAACCTCTGCTCAGAGCAGGTACCACTGGGTGGGACTGCTGTGTTTTCTCCAGTTGCATTCTAAACCTCTGACAACCAAGATCCACCCTCCTCAAACCATCTCGATGATCCTCTAGACACGCTGCAGTATGTCCATGTCCATCTTGTCCTAGGTAGCCCCAAATTCTTTCTTGCTTCTTCTGCTTTAGGTTTCTTTCTTCCTGCCTCCACTGGAGACCCGGCAGAGCCGGCAGTGCCTGCGCTGGGGAGGGACAGTGCAGTGTCCCTGGAGCTGGGCTCTAGAACCACCTCCCAGAGCTGATGGTGCCACCCAGACCTCAGAGATGACCTCTGGGCTCCATCTCTCTTTCAGATGCTTGGACAACTGACACAGAGGAGGGGGTGGAGGAATCACAGGGACTGTACACAAAAGGTGAGTTCTGCTGGGGAGCCTCCAATTCACCCTGGTTGGGAGGGTCACAGCACTTGTTTTGGAGGACATTGAGTCTTCATGTGCCTTTGCTCAGAGCTCTCCATTTTGAGCTGGGCAACTTTGGGAAGAAAAGTATTGCCAGATTTCCGGGGTCATGGCAGAGGGGTCACAGCTGAAGTGACTCCACTCTCTCCTGATCACCCCTTTCCTCCCCACTCTCTCTTGATCTCCTTCTGTTTTCATTTTTCCCTGAAAAGAATAATCAACTTTAGTGTCAATTCACATCATCAGCTATGGAGCCTGCATGAATGTGAACCTGTTTCAACCCCCTTTGTGCTGCTACCCCACCTTTCTGCTCCAGATCTGCTCCTGCTCCATGGTTGGAAGTGGGTCAGGGACATGAACAAGTCCCACGTGTCCAAATACGTCCAAAAGATTCTCAGCTTGTGCTCTCTTAATGAGGAATCTTATCCCCAGAGAAGTGCTTGAGATGACTGGCCGAGCCCAGCATCATGCAGAGTAATTTAGGCTCTGTAATTTTAGGGACCTCTGGAGGTCATCTGGTCCAAACCTCTGCTCAGAGCAGGTACCACTGGGTGGGACTGCTGTGTTTTCTCCAGTTGCATTCTAAACCTCTGACAACCAAGATCCACCCTCCTCAAACCATCTCGATGATCCTCTAGACACGCTGCAGTATGTCCATGTCCATCTTGTCCTAGGTAGCCCCAAATTCTTTCTTGCTTCTTCTGCTTTAGGTTTCTTTCTTCCTGCCTCCACTGGAGACCCGGCAGAGCCGGCAGTGCCTGCGCTGGGGAGGGACAGTGCAGTGTCCCTGGAGCTGGGCTCTAGAACCACCTCCCAGAGCTGATGGTGCCACCCAGACCTCAGAGATGACCTCTGGGCTCCATCTCTCTTTCAGATGCTTGGACAACTGACACAGAGGAGGGGGTGGAGGAATCACAGGGACTGTACACAAAAGGTGAGTTCTGCTGGGGAGCCTCCAATTCACCCTGGTTGGGAGGGTCACAGCACTTGTTTTGGAGGACATTGAGTCTTCATGTGCCTTTGCTCAGAGCTCTCCATTTTGAGCTGGGCAACTTTGGGAAGAAAAGTATTGCCAGATTTCCTCCCAAGCCAAGACCAAACATGGACCCAGCACGGTGAAACCCTTCCCAGGGCTGATCTCTACCACTCGTTCCTTGACCCATCTTGTCTCTTGCAGTGAGTGTGACTCTGGATCCAGACACAGCTCAGTCCCGGCTCATCTTGTCTGAAGATCGGAGATGTGTGACTCAGGGAGCCCCACAGCAGAGCCAGCTTGACAACCCAAAGAAATTTGACCCGTGGCCATGTGTGCTGGGCTGTGAGGGATTTGACTCGGGGAGGCCGTGCTGGGAGGTGGAGGTGGGTTACGGGTCTGCCTGGGCTGTGGGGGTGGCCCTGGAGTCCGTGAAGAGGAAGGGACCAATTGACATGAGCCCCGCTGGGGGCATCTGGGCAGTGGGGCAGTACAAGGAGAAGTTCCAGGCTCTGACTTCCACGTCTCCCACCCCTGTCCTCCCCAGCACGGCGCCCCGGAGGGTGCGGGTCTGTCTGGACCACGCAGGGGGGCAGGTGCTGTTTGTGGACGTGCTGAGCCAGGCTCTGATTTTCACTTTCCCACGAGCTGTGTTTGCAGGGAAGAAAATCCACCCCTGGTTCTGGGTGGGTAAAGGGTCCCAGCTCAAACTGTCCTGAGGAAGTGTGTCCCTCTGAGGGGGGGTCTGCTGTGGCCACCCTGCCCTCCTGTTACTAACCCATCTGGTTAGTCCCTGGGGACTATCATCTGCTTCCAGATCTTCAGCCATCTCCATCTGCAGCCCATGAGCCTCAGAGGCTGTTGGACTCCTCTCTCCCTGCCCACGGAGAGCAGGAACTGCCTTGCTAGGAGCAGAGATCTGTGGGCTTCCCCATCATTGGTCCTACGGAGCAGTGGTGAAGAAAGGCCATTTCTGGAGACATACTTCATATACAGGAGCCATGAGGAGACTGGGAGGCACAGCAGTGGCCATGCACTGCCTAGTGGTGGTAGATTTTCACTTGAGGAAATGGGCAAATGGGTAAGGAAGGTGAAACCTGTCCAGCCTGGCTGTGGGGTGACACTGTAGCCCTGAAGCTTCCATGTCTTAGTCCCCATGTTTGGCCTGTTTTAATTCTTGTGTTAGCTTAAGACAACACAAGTAAATCTTCATCTTTTTGGGAGGTGTTGGTAGGATTTACATCTCCAGATAAACTTGTGGGTGCAATAGTGATCACTGCTTTTTAAATAAAATTAGTGTACTGATAATTCTTCAATGTTTGACTTTTCAGTTTGTTTCTCTAGTTGTGATGAGGCTCTTGAAAATAAAATCTAGATGTTTAGATCTTCTCTGGGCAAGGAACTAATACCAGGAATTTGCTGAAGCTGAGGAAGAGGCAGTAGGAATTGCTGGTTTGAGACCTGCTGATCTGTAGAGCTGCCAGGATTTGTGCATAGCATGGTAGAAGCAAAAAAGATGAATAACCAAAGTTATATAAATAACCAGAGTTCAAATGCTGATCAAACAAATGTGAAACTAAATCCTGCCCCACAGGACCTTTCTGACAGATGAGAAGGGCTTTGAACACATTGGGTCCATCTAATTCTGTTGAAAAAGCTGCCCTGGGAAAGGGAGGTTGGGGTCTGGAGCAGAAGGATTCAGAGAATGGTAAAGGGAAATGACAGTACAAACACAAACTCTGCCTAGGATGTTTAATACAACCTCTGGAAAAATGGGTTGTGAAAAAGCATCTGTGAAAGTCACAGCTTGCTCAAGGGTGATGCCCATCCCTTGTCCTTGCTCTGTGGTGACCTGCTGGAGTTGGCTGTGGTGCTGCCATGGGGTTGATTCCAGCTCTACCACACATGTACCCAGACATGTATCCAGCTGCCTTTGTGCTTGGGCTGTGGGATCTCACCTTCCTCCCAGGGTGCTGATGCAAGTGAAGAGCTCTTGCTCCCTCTGCACAGGCACAACATCAGTGTCAGCACCAGGAGCTGAGGTTGTGCTGGCAACCAAGGTGTGGGCAGCCACTTGGAGACATTCATTCCCAGCAGGATTTGCCTCTCTTCTGTGCTCTGTCAGGAACAAGAGTTTTGGGATTGGGTCCTTGGATGGGCCCCTGTGTGCTTTGCTGTCCTACGGATGTGCAGAGCCCAGGGGCAGCAGGATGTCACCTGTCCCTGTACAGTGCCAGAGACTGGCCCTACCCTGCGGCCTGGACAGGGTGTCTGTGCCTGACCTGGTGCTGCAACACTGTCCAGCTGCTGGAGCAGGCCAGAGAGACCAGTGCTGCAGACTGTACCCAGCTCCCATCACAAAGGTGGCAACTGAGTTGGTACTAAAGGGGTCCAACCAGCAATAGGGCTGGAGAAATCTATGCTAGACCCAGACAATGGTCCCCTTTGCCTACATTCACCTCTTCTTCTTCTAAGAGCATAAGTTGGCAGAAGAGGACAGAGCAGGGCTCTGGGAGTGGAGAACCTCCCACCTTTTCCAGGTCTAGTGTCGTTTGAACGTCATTTCCCCAAAATGCCAGTTCTCAGAGCAGATCTGCTGGAAGGCACGTCCTGTGAGGAGCAGCTGAGCACAATGGTTTGGTCTCATTTGGAGAAAAAGAGGCTGAGGGGTGACCTCATGGCTTTCTGCAGCTTCCTGAGGAGGTGGAGAGGGAGGTGCTGAGCTCTTCTCCCTGGCTTCAAGGGACAGGATGCCTGGGAATGGTTCAAAGCTGCTCCAGGTTTGGACTGGACATTTGGAAGCATTTCTTTACTGAGAGGCTGGTCAAACACTGGAACAGGCTTCCTTGAGAGGTGGTTGATGCCCCAGGCCTTTCAGTATATAGAAGCATTTGGACAATCAACAATCTTTAATTTTTGGTCAGCCCTCCAGACCTTGATGGGGGTAGATCAGAGAACAGATGTCAGGGAACTGCCTTGCCTCCAGACTTCAGACACATCTCAGTTGCTTGCTTGCTTCCTTAGCTCTAGTGCTCTGCTGTAGGAAATCTGCTTGATGAACACACCAGTGAGAACTGGAAATAAGGCAAGGAGAGGCTTTGGATGTAGGGAGGAGATAAGTGTTATCATGAGCTCCAGCATCCAGCTGTGTTTGGGGTTTGTTTTTTTTAACTTCTTAATTCAGCTTCATTGAAAAAAGCCAGAGACATGATTCCAGCACTTTTTCACAGAATCACAGAATCATCTTGGTTGGAAAAGACCTTCAAGATCGTCAAGTCCAACCATAACCTAAATCTACCAACCATAACCTAATCTACACATTCAGGGATTAAATCATGTCCCTCAGCACCACATCTCTATTTCTTTTAAACACTTCCAGGGATGGTGACTCCACCACCTCCCTGGGCAGCCTGTTCCACTGTCCAACCACTCCTTTGGTAAAGAAGTTCTTTCTAATATCTAATTGTTTGGACCAGCTGTATTTTTCATGGCCTTGTACAGAGCAGCTCTGCAGTGCCCTGGCACTTCATGCCACTTTCCTACCCTGGGGCCACCTGGAAACAAGCTCCTCTATGAATTGAATCTCTGTGCTCCCTGTGGTCTCTGCAGTCCCACCTGTGGGGTGGAGGAAATGGAGGAGACTCTTTGGTGGCATCCATCTCCAAGACCTGCCAGTCCTCCCACTTTGGTGGCCAGAGGAACCACACGAGCAGAAGCCATCAGGATGCATGACCCTCCCAGTTCCCAGCACCAAAACCCAAGCTGATGGTGCTTCCCCTCTCCAGTCTCCCCGTGCCACCCCTGCTCCCTCCGTGTCAGGGGCACAGCCTGAGCCACGAGTCCATCCCCACCCACAGCCACGGGTGCAGGGTCTCACTAGGACCTGGAGCCAAGCAGAAAGAAAAGATCAAGGCTTCGTTGTCAGCATCAGCAAATGCCACCTGCCTGTCTGTGAAGTCCAGGTGGACCTGAACAACCCTAGGGAGAAAGGCAAGGTGCAGGGGGGTCCAGTCAGGGTCAGTGAAAGCGTGGTATTGTCCAAACCACTGCCCCACAGCCCAGACCCCCTCCTGAGGGGTAAAACTGAGGACCCCCTTCCTCCTGACAGACTCCTGGGCCACCCCCACAGCCCACCAGTCCCCTGCCTCGGCCACCTCCACCTCCCAGCAGTGGCTCCCTGTAGTGAAGCCCTGGAGGCCCAGCACACAGGGCTCCACGTCGAACCGCTCGGGGTTGTTGGGCAGCAAAGTCCACTCGTCCCCCCGTCGCACCCCCCTCTGGTCACCAGCCAGGATCAGGAAGGGGTTGGCAGTGTCTGGGTCCAGGGTCAGGTTGGCTGGGGACAGAGGAGGAGAAGATGCTCAGGACAGGCAGCCCCAGAAGTGCATCAGGGCACCAGCAAGAGAAGGGCCAGGGTGATGCCCTGAGCCTGGGTGTCACCAGTGTTGCCTGAGTGAAACTGGCACATCTGGGCCCAAACCAAAGTGACAGACATCACCCTAGAACCCCAAGTCCCTGTTTATTTCTGTGAGCAATGGAGGGAGCCAAGGAGAGCAACTCAGGTGGTGGGTCTACAGTACAAGGAATTCAGCCACCAGAGTGTAGCTCAATGAGGGTTGGTCCAGGCTGGACAAGCCCCAGATGCTTTGACCCTGACTAGGGAGGAGATAAATGTTATCATGAGTCCCAGCATCCAGCTGTGTTTGGGCTTTTTTTTTTTTTAACTACATAATTAAGCTTCATTGAAAAAAACGAGAGACATGATTTAAGCACCTTTTAAAGCATTGATCAGGACCATAGCATAGGATGCAGGTCCCCTTCCTCTTCCCTTCTGAAAACTCACCACTTCCACATCTCTCCTCTACCTCATTGGCCAGAGTCTCCGTCTCGTCTCTCTCCATCTTGGATACCATCATGTCTGCAGAAAACCCACAGGAGGGGAGGCAGGATTCCCTGCTCAAAGTGGAAATTGCAAGACTCAGAGACTGCCTAAAGATGAGAAGGAAGCAGAGGGAATGATGGAGAACTCCTGGCATTCAGGCACTCACCTGCAAGCCAGAAGAGGTTTTGGGTGGGTCTGAAGGTCTTCAGGCTGCTCTCCATTCTCCTGACCTCCTTGGCTCATGGCTGGACCAGGCTTGTGCAGCACTTCCAGCTTGTTCCAGTGAGGAGATTGAAGTCTGAGGGGCTGGATGGCCTGGAGAGCAGAGCTGAGAATCTGGTACCTTCTATCTGTGGTGACCACCCCACTGGAGCTTCCACCTCCCCTCCCCTTGGTGACCGCCTCCCATGGCCTGAAGCTGCTGGTGGACATGTAACCTCATCTGACACGAATTTGGGAGCTCCTGCAGTGCCTGTCCTGTTTACATCCAGGATCTGCTGCATCTCCCCTCCCTCCAGCCAGCTGCTGGGGGGTGATAAGAGCCTGCTGAGATGCTGGAACAGGCTGTATCTTTCTGCAGCAGAACGTGCCTCTCCAGCCTGGTGGGATGGCACTTGGTGACACTAGCTCCAGAGCTGTGGCCATGTTATGGCTGCCCAAGCCACATGCTGTGATGAGGGAAGAGATCTGGCTCCTTACAGGCACTGCTGGCCCACATCTGTCTTGCTTCCAATGGCTTTTGGGGTGATGTTTGTAGGCCAGGTTTTACCTCAACTGGTAAATGAGGGACAGCAGGTGGTGGGCTTTGCATCCCACCTCTCTGTTCTCCAGGCATCT